CCGTCTCCGTGAAGATCTCTCCCTCTTCATGACATCCTGGCCCCTGTGGGGCACCTGGCAGGCTGGGGACACACAGAAGAGGTGCAGCCCCACCCCACTCACTCAGGGACACAGAGAGGAGGAGGCAGTCCCCTCCCCTGCTGCTCAGGGCCTCCTCCACCCCACCCCAAGGCCATCTTGCCTCAGGGCTCCTCCAAGAGGCCTTCGTTAGCCCCTATCCCAAGTTGTCCCATGGGGTCTCTGAGTTCAGCACATCCTGAGACCCATGACATTCCAGCAAGGAAACAGGGCAGAGGCCAGGGGAGGGTTCTGAAGGCTACCGCTGCCCTCTGGCAGCTAAACAGCTAGCCTCCAGCAGCCAGGACCAGGTGTCCAGCCACCTCTGCTGGGGAGGCCCCACATGGCACCGAGAACAGGAGAGAGATCATCTGCAGACAAACTATTTCGAGATACTTCTTGAGGTGGTGAGCGGAGGCTGACGTAGCAGCACTGGTATGAAGTGACCATACCAGTGCTGCGAACAAGCATGGCAGGACAGCAGTGGGAGCTGGTACTGTCCCCACTCTAGACTGCAGCCCTGCAGCCAGAGATGAGTGGGAGCCGGTACTGTCCCCACTCCAGATTGCAGCCCTGCAGCCTGAGACACCGCCTGGAGGCAGGAGGCCTCCCTTCCAAGACCTGGCTGTCCAGCTTCCTCAAGTTAAAGAGAGGAGTGCCTGGCAGCTCTGCCTGCCTCCCCTATTAACAGGGATAGAAAAGAAAGAAAAGCCAGACATTTGAGCACTGAGTCTCATGGGAAGTTCCAAGACTAAACAAAAAAGAACAAGAGAGAAAATGCAGAAAGCAAAAGATTCGTCTTCCCCCAAACCCACTTTATCCCTAAGAGCAGAACAGAATTCTCTGGAACAAGAAGAGGGGAGCTTGGGGAATGATGTCTTGGAAATGAAAAACAGGACTGCTAAAATCCAAAACCAGTCTGTAATTTTTATTTATTTATTTTAAACAGAGTCTGGCTCTGTCGCCAGGCTGGAGTGCAGTGGCATAATCTCGGTTCACTACAACCTCCCCCTCCTGGGTTCAAGCCATTCTCCTGCCTCAGCCTCCTGAGTAGCTGGGATTACAGGTGCACACCACCACATCCAGCTAATTTTTGTATTTTTACTAGAGACGGGGTTTCACCATGTTGGCCAGGCTGGTCTGGAACTCCTGACCTCAAGTGATCTGCCTGCCTTGGCCTCCCAAAGTGCTGGGATTACAGGTGTGAGCCACTATGTCTGGCCCCAAAACCAACTTTTTAAAAAGCAGAGAGAGAGTGTGTGTTTGTATTCAAGGAAGTCTATCTACAAGCAAAGGTAGAAAGGACTCACAGGATCAATTCAAAGGGCCCAACATCTGACTGACAGGAGTTCCAGAATGAGCAAGAAATGTTGTCAAAGAAATGCCAGGTCTCAAGGCAGAACGTGCTCACCAAGCGCCCAGCACGGTGAGGAAGGAAACACCTGCAGTTGGTGTGACTCCCAGAGGCGCAGGGATCAGAGGGGACCCTGCAGGCTTCTGGGGAGAAGGCTGGCAGCCTGGCCAGATCTCACCACCGAGGACCACGACCGGCCTTCCAGTCCTGTGGGAAAATGCCCTCAGCCCTGATTCTCTCCCCAGCCCGACGTCCAGCAGGCGTGAGGTCAGGATAAGATGCTTCTAGGCCTGTGAGGCCTCTCTCTCTCTCTCTCTCTCTCTCTTTTTTTTATTGAGACAGAGTCTTACTCTGTTGCCCAGGCTGAAGTCCAGTGGTGCAATCGCAGCTCATGGCAACCTCTGCCTCCTGGGTTCATGCCATTCTCCTGCCTCAGACTCCTGAGTAGCTGGGACTATAGGTGCCCGCCACCACGCCCAGATAATGTTTTGTATTTTTAGTAGAGACAGGATACTGGGGGAATCAGCCCCCGGTATTTCAACATAGGTTCTTTTCTATTTTCCCTAAGTGTTGACCATTCTGATAAATAAAGAGAAAGAGTACAAAGAGAGAAATTTTACAGCTGGGCCTCCGGTGGTCATCACATATTGGTAGGACCGTGATGGTGACCTGAGCTGCAAAACCATCAAGTTTTTATTAGGGATTTCAAAAGTGGGGGGGTGTATGAATAGAAAGTGGGTCACAAAGATCACATGCTTCCAAGGGCAATAAAAGATCACAAGGGCAGAGAGGCAGAGTAAGATCACAAGACCAGGGTGAAATTAGAATTACTGATGTGGGTCTATGTCCTGCTGGGCACGCATTGTCATTGATAAACATCTTAACAGGAAACAGGTTTCGAGAGCAGACAACCGGTCTGACTAGAATTCGCCCGGCTGGAATTTCCTAATCCTGGCAAGCCTGAGGGCGCTGCAGGAGACCAGGGCATATTTCATCCCTTATCTTCAACCACATAAGACAGACACTCCCAGAGCAGCCGTCAATAGACCTATCCCTGGGAATGCATTCCTTTCCCAGGGTTATTCCTGGCTGGGAAAAGAATTCAGTGATATTTCTCCTATTTGCTTTCTGCAATAAGAAAAATATGACTCTGTTCTGCCCGGCCCCACAGGCAGTCAGACCTTACGGTTATCTCCCTTTTTCCCTGAAAATCGCTGTTATCCTGTTCCTTTTCAGGGTGCCCAGATTTCATATTGTTCAAACACATGTTTTACAAATAATCTGTACGGATAACACAATCATCACAGGGTCCTGAGGCGACATACATCCTCAGCTTACGAAGATGACAGGATTAAGAGATTAAAGTGGCCGGGCGCGGTGGCTCAAGCCTGTAATCCCAGCACTTTGGGAGGCCGAGATGTGCGGATCATGAGGTCAGGAGATCGAGACCATCCTGGCTAACACAGTGAAACCCCGTCTCTACTAAAAATACAAAAACTTAGCCGGGCGAGGTGGCAGGCGCCTGTAGTCCCAGCTACTCGGGAGGCTGAGGTAGGAGAATGGCGTGAACCCGGGAGGCGGAGCCTGCAGTGAGCTGAGATCCGGCCACTGCACTCCAGCCTGGGTGACAAAGTGAGACTCCGTCTCAAAAAAAAAAAAAAAAAAAAAAGAGATTAAAGTAAAGACAGCCATAGGAAATTATGAGTATTGACTGGGGAAGTGATCAATGTCCGTGAAATCTTCCCAATTTATGTTCAGAGACTGCAGTAAATACAGGCATAAGAAATTATAAAAGTATTAATTTTGGGAATAAAAAATGTCCATGAAATCTTCACAATTTATGTTCTTCTGCCATGGCTTCAGCCGGTTCCTCCATTCTGAGTCCCTGACTTCCCACAACGACGGGGTTTCACCATGTTATCCAGGGTGGTCTCGATCTCCTGACCTCATGATCCGCCTGTCTTGGCCTCCCAAAGTGCTGGGATTACAGGCATGAGCCGCCACGCCTGGCAAGGCTCTCAGTGTTTCCTCCCACGTCACAGCCCACTCCAAAACTCAGTGGCAAAACAACTATGACAGCCTGGGACTCAGCGTACATGGCCAGCCACTTGGCTGCCGTCTGGGCTGGTTCTCTGGGGGTCTTGGCTTGTCCACCCATCTTCAGGCAGCTGGGGACGGGCTGGGACAACAGAAGCCTCTCCTGCCCCATGGCCTCTCATCCTGCAGCCCAGCCCAGGCCTCCTGCATGGAAGACAGTCCCCAGAGCCAAGCAAGAAAGGTCCAGGCCCAGCGCACAAGTGTTGTGCCAACCTCTGCCCACAGCAGCTTAGGAGCAGCCCACTGGCCAAGTGCATCCGAGGTTGGCCCAGAGCCCAGCGGTGGAGACTGGGACCCGCCTCTTGATGTAGGAGTTGAAGTTACCTTGCAGTGGGGCCAGGACACTGGGAGAGGAGGGAACGGCTCTGTTCCTACCACATGAGGACTTCTCCAAGCCAGCTTTCTGAGGGTTAACTGAGGGTTGAGGGGTTCAAGGAGGAGGACATGGGCACTGGGACTAAGGGGCAGTGAGAGGCAGTGGGGCAGATGGTGTGAGGAGCACCAGGGAGCAGGAGGGAATGGGCCTGGGGCATGAATCTGACCCCATTGTTGGATGAATGCTCTTCAGCTGCCCAAATCCAGTCCCACTGGTAACAGCGTGGCCTTCGGCAAGTGACTAAAGGGCTTCCTGCCTCAGCTTCCCCACCCGTAAACAGAGGGTAACAATGGCATGTACTGGATCTGGCATAAAGTAAATGTTCAATACATAGCTAGAAAAGAATGTTTTAAAACCTCAGAGATACATCAGGTGAAAAGAAAAGCTGGGCTGCAGGATGACCTCTTCAGTGGGAACGAGGGGCAGGGGATGGCAGCCCACCTCCAGGAGGAGCTTAAAGAGGAGGCTCCTGGCTGCAGACACAGGAGACAGAGGTGGGAAAGGCGTGGAAGCCATTTTTATTGTTTGATATTTTTTGAATCCACACTGTGTGTGCATTATCTGTTTTACATCTTAAGAAAAATAACAGGGCTGGGCACAGTGGCTCACGTCTGTAATCCCAACACTTTCAGACACTGAGGCAAGAGATCGCTTGAGGCCAGGAGTTTGAGACCAGCCTGGACAACACAGTGAGACTGCCATCTCTGCAAAAAATTTAAAAATTAGCCGGGCATGGTTGCACACACCTGTAGTCCTAGCTACTTGGGAGGCTGAGGTGGGAGGATTGCCTGAGCCCAGGAGTTGGAGGCTGCAATGAGACATCATTGTGTCACTGCACTCCAGCCTGGGTGACAGAGCAAGGCCCCTTCCCATAAAAAGAAAGAAAGAAAGAAAACTCACATGGTGGGTCAGAGGCAGTGCGGTCATCAGGTGGGGCAGCTTCAGGACCAGGTGGAAGGGGCCCATTGCGACCTCCCTGGCTGCACCCAGGCCTTTGTGACTGTTGCCTGGGGCAGCCTGGGAGCCAGTGAGTCACCCAGAGCCCTCAATAAGAGGGCAGTAGGTCAGGCCAGGCCAGGGCCTGGACCTGGGGTCAGTAAGGGGTTGCAGGGAGGGATGGCGGGGCTGAAAACCCTGGGCCCCTGCGGCCACCCCCACCCCCACCCCCACCGTGTCCCCCAGCTGCAGCCTCCAGCAGCCATGGAGAATGCCTGGACTAGCACTGCCAGGGATTTGTAGGGTGGCCCTGCCTGGTCCCCATCTCCTCTGCTCACTCAGTTCAGTCCCAGAGACCTTACCCAGTTCCAGGGGCAGGAGACAGGGGCAGGGGGCCCAGGGTACAGAGCAAGGCTCCTGCGATCTTTCTGTCCAGCAAGGAGCAGACAGCAAGAAACCCTGAGGGACTGAGACAAGGAAACCTGGAGACAAGGCTCAGGTGGGGCTGGCCCCTGCACCCAGGGTCAAATCAGAGGGCTTCCAGGCAGGAGGGATCCACTGGCTCAGGGCCCAGACCCTGTGCATGCCCATCCCTGTCGCTGGAGGGAGGGGCCCTGGCCTCGCCCAGGGCAGCCCTGTCCCAGCTGCAGTGCGGGCCGCTGGGTTCTGCAGAACAGTCCTTCCTGCAGCTGGAGCAGGAGAATCACAGTCTGGTGAGCACCCCACCCACCGCCTGGCACCCTTGCCCCAGCCCCAGCTCCAGCCCCAGGAGCGGCCATGACAGGCAGTCCCCTCTCTCTGCCCCCCACCCCCAGAAAAGGCAGAACCAGGACCTTTGGGAGCAGCTAGGGGCCCTCCTGGGGCCGGGGCAGCAGTTCCTGCCCCTGTGTCCCGAACACTCAAGCTGCACTCCCCTGGCCTGGTACAGAGCCCAAGGACCCCATGCAGCCAATGCCCCACTAGCCCACAGCCTTGGGACTGATCTGGGGGCTCTCCCACAGCCCCCCGACCCAGCTAGCATGCAGCCCTTGGGGAACAGGGTACCTCTGCAGCTGCTGTGGCAGGAGCTGTGCCAGGGGCAAGAGACCTTCGTGCAGCAGTCCCAGGTGGGCCTGGGGGAGGGGCTGTGGGGGGAGGAACTTTCATGCAACTCTCCAGGTGGGCCTGGGGGGGTTCAGTGGGGAGGAAAGAACCTTGGTGCAGCAGGCCAGTGGGCCTCGGGGAGGGCCTATAGGGGGAGGAACCTTCGTGCAGCAGGCCCGGTGGGCCTGGGGCAGGGCTGTCGGGGGAGGAACCTTCATGCAGCAGGCCGGTGGGCCCGGCAGGGAGGTACTTGCCACCCTGCTGATGCTGCCCAAGCCCACCCTGGGCCTCACCCTCAGAACGAGCTGCAGCAGATCCGCCTGTGCTTTGAGAAGATGGTCATCACAGAAGTGCCCGCCTGGCTGAGGGGGAGGGGTGCTGGGGGCCCACCCAGTGGGTCCTCCTCAGGCATGACCCCACCATCCTCCCGACAGCATGGCTGAGATGCACATGGCCCTGAACCACCAGGCCACCAGGCTCCTGGTAGGTCCCCACAGAGCAGCACCCAGAAGGATGGGGCCGGGCAGGCGAGAGGCTGGGTAGGGCGGGGCCGGGGCCTGCTGTGCTTACCTCCTCTGGCCCCCAACACCTCAAGGAGGACGTCCGGGGCGTGCTGGACCAGAAGGACAACATCTAGCTGGGGATTCTCAGGTAACATGGGGGCAGGGACCAGGTCGGCTGAGCAGGGTCTCGGAAGGGGTCCTGGTCAGGACAGGGCAGATCCATCTTTGACCCCCCACCTCCATAGCACTGAGCCAGGGGGTGGGTGCCAGGCTGGGGGTGGAGCGCGTGGGGTCCTGACAGGCCTCTGCAGGGAGCAGGCCCAGTGCCGCACTCAGGCCAGGAAGGAGCCGCAGATGGCAAGCATGGCAGTGAGCCCCCCACGCCCCACTCTGGGTCTGGAGACCAGCCCCCCACCCAGGGCCCTGCTTGGGCGAGGGGGAGAAATGGGCTCCAGCAGAGCAGGTCCAGGGCAGGGGGCATCTGAAAAGTGGCTGCAGGAACCTGTCCAGGAGGAAAGGGCCAGGGCTGTGGTGGGGGGAGCCCTGTCTGAGGAGGGTTTCCCAAAGTCAGGGATCCCCGCCCTCAGCCTGGACCATCGGGGTGGGCTCCCCTCCCCAACAGAAAGGAAGGCCAAAGCTGGAAAGCTCCAAGGGCCTAGCAGGCCAGCTCTGGTAGGTGACTGCGCGGCAGAGCCCAGCCCCCAGGCCCCCTGCGCACCCCTGCCCCTAACTGTCGCCACCCGTAGGCTGTCGACCCTGAGGCTGCTGCTGGGTGCCCTGCTGGGCGCCTACGTGTACATGGTGAACCCTAGGCCCTTCGAGGGGTTGGTGCCACCCCTGCTGAGCCACGCCATCATCTGGAAGCTCCGGGCCCTGCTGGACCCCTTCCTGCACCTTGAGGTGGATGGCCTCCTGTCCTAGGCCGGAGGCCCAGCGGTTCCAGCGAGGAGGCCAGGCGACCAGCACTGCCCCAGACGCCCAGTGGCCATGTCGGCACCACTGTGCGCCATCCCTGCCAGGAGATGCAGAGAAGGGTGGAGGCGGGGTCTGTCCTGAGGGCTGGGCCTGTGGCTGGACATAGAGTCATGACATACATGGCTGGTAAGCACGTCTCTGTGGAAATTGGGGAAGAGACACCTGGGCCATCCAACAGCGAGGGTCCCTCAGGGTGGAGACCCCAGCCTCAGGGCTGGCTTCCCACCCCACATCCCACCTGCCCTCCAGAAGGCAGCCCTTCTGCACAGGGCTCTGACCCCCAAGGGGTCTTAGGAGGGTTTCCACTGAAAGGCAACAGCAGTAAGGACTAGGGGGTCCTCAGGTCTTGCCCCCTGGGCCAGGCCCTCCTGGGGACCTCAGAGGTCAGGTTTTCAGCACTGAACCTGCTGATCCACTGACCTCATGCCCCTCATGCAACTCCCCTCCCTTCCTGGCCACCACCCTCCCTGCCCAGGTCCTGTCACCTCCCCAACCCAGGGCAACACATTGGTAGACAGAGCTGTGGAGATCAACACCAAAAATTTTATTTGGGGAATTAATTAGCAGGGGTGCCCTTAAGAACAATGCAGGAGAGTTTTGTGGCTTTCTCATCCCAAAATGGGAGAAATAGAGCAGAGCCCAGGGTAAACCAGGGACAGGGACCCTGTGCTGGAGAAGGGCTGGCCAGAGTGCCACGCTGCCACAGGCCGTACCTCTGCTGGAGGACACAGGGCTTGGGCTTCGGGCCCTCTGAGCTCCCAGCAGCATTGTCTCTGGGTGCAGGCAGCCCTAGTGGGGCCCAGGCAGAGCTGGCCATGACCACAGGACCCTGGTGGCAGGCAGGGGCCAGTGGCTCACCACGCTGGCGGCTCCAGGAAATTAAGGCATCTGTTCATGTGTCAGGCGAAGGGCAGGAGTGCAGAGACCTTCGGGGGCAACCTGAGACCCCCCACCCAGCCCAACCCATGGAGGCCTGGGCTCCCCGAGGAGGAAGTGGTTTGGTCTAAAGAGCTTGGTTGGACAGGGAGGCTCAGCAAAGTTTGTGCTGGTCCCCGCAGCTCTGGTGCTGCCCCCTGTGGGGTGCTGGACCCCCTGCAGCAGGTGGGGGACTCACTGAGGTCACGTGGACACAGGGTCTCGGGCCCTGGCAGGCTGGGAGTCTGTCAAGCTGTGGCTGGTGGAGAAGAAAGCCCAGCTCACCTCTAGCCCTGCCCTAGGATCCATGGCAGTCTCACCTCCTGGGTCCCCAGCTGGGCTGTCCCAGGCCCCAGAGCTGCCTACTTGTCATCCTGCTAAGGCCCGGAGAGGCTGGGGAAAAGACTAGGTAGCCAAGTGCAGGCGGCACATGGCCCCACATGGGGGTGCCCCAGGTGGTCGGGCTCCAGGGGGCCCGCAGTGGTGGGCGGTCCTCCAGGCGGCCAAGGTGGCATAGGTGCAGCCCAGGAGGCACCCAAGGCTGGTCACGTTGCCCCCATCCACGGGTACAGGTGCCAATCTGCTCCCTGTGGGCCGTGGCGTCCGTGAGAGAGAAGCAGAAAGGTGGTCAGCACAGCGCCAGCTTCGGGGCCCTACAGCCCGCACCCCTCCCGCACTAGGACAGCCCCAGCCCAGGCTGTCTCAGCCCTGAACAGCTGCACATCCCTCACACTCCCTCAGACCTGCCCCTGGCATTTGTCAGGCAGGAGAGTTCCAGCAGGTTCAGCAGCCCCCACATGGCCCTGAGCCAGCAGGTAGCCCCTATGCACCCACACTTCATTTCGCCAAGCTCTTGGGTTCCTGGGATTCCCCTGTGGGTAGCGGCAGACCTAAGTCTTTCCCCCAAACACCCCATCACTGCCAGAACTGATGCAGACACAAGGCAAGAGACCCTCACACTTCCCAGCCATAGACCATCGGCCACGCCCTCTTCCCAAGCCTCTGACTCAGCCCAAGCCCACAGAAATGCCCCCGAGGAACCCACCTACCCCTGCACACCAGACAGCAGCCACCCCCTCTTCCAGGGCCCGGCCTCTGCCCTCCCCTAACTCTGGGGGTCCTGCAGCAACAGCCCTGGTCTTGCCCAAGGAAAGAATCAAAATAAGCTTTTTTTTTTTTAAATAAAATTATAGATATATAGATGTAGATATAAAAACAAAACAGACACAACGCAGGTGGATGCTGTCGTTGTGCTTATTCTCAGATCCCTGACACGAAGGGAAGCACGGACCCCTCCCCAGTGTGCTTTCCCATGGCGTGAGCACCACAGCCAGGCCAGGGTTGGGGATGTGGCATGCCTTGGGGCAGGGTTCTCCAGTTTGGCAGGGAGGGCCTGAGGGCTGGGGAGGGGGCTCTGGGTGTCACAGGCCCCGCGGCAGCATCATCCCTGTGTCTGCTCCCGTCTGCCCCGTCACTTCCCACAAGAGCATAAAGCAAAGGTTGAGGCTTTGATGAAAGGGACAGTGGCAGCTGGAACACTGACACATGGCTGGCCATCTGTCCACAAGGACGGCGGAGGCCCTGGATGCCTCTGTCCATCCCTGGGACCCGTCCGTAAAGGGACCGTTGGGGGCTGGCCTGGCGATGATCTGGGGTGCATGGGTGATGGGAGTGGGCCAAGCCTGGCTGAGAGAGGGTGCCCCAAAGAGGCTGACTAGGCCCCCCTCACTGCCCTAGCCATGGGACAGGCCCAGACACAGACCAGACCAGCGGCCCTTGTCCCAGTGAGCCAAATTCCCCATGGCCAGATGAGTGGACGGGCAGGGAGGGCGCCTGGGGCAAGGTGTGGAGGCGTGGCACTCTCTCCCGCTGATGGGTCCATACCAGGCTAGGGTGGCCTCGTGTTCCTGGGGCAGAGAAGTTGGTGGGGAGGGGGATGCCCTGCGGGGTCCTGGTCCCCGTGGCACCACAGCAGATGGGTGGTGGTCAGTCCTCACACCGAGATCTCGTACGTGGTCCCACCCACGCCGGACACCTTCTTAATCAGCGTGAGCTGTGTTTGGCTGGCAGAGGGCCCTGGGGGCCAGTGGTAGGTCCCAGCCGGGCCAGGCCTGGGGACTGCCCATTAAGCTTACCTGGGGGAGTCTTCACCTGAGGGTGGTTCCTGCATCAAAACAAGCACATACACGCATGCACACGGTGAACACAGGAATGCATCGGGACAGAGGACGGAGGAGGCAGCAGGACATAGACGACACGGACGTGGACTGGTGTAACCATGTCGTGGGGGCCCAGGGCAGTCCCTGCCCTCTGGGCTCGGAGGGTTCACCTGGAAAGCAGGCGGGAGATGCAGAGCCTGCCTGGGGAGCAGCTGTGCCATCACAGGACAGACAGAGGTCATCAGAACTGCCACCACCCTCCCGGGTCCCTGGGTCCCTCCTAGGCAGCACTGGCCCCAGAGAGCATGGGGCAGCCAGGTGGGCACTGACCGGAGCCCCTGTCCTGCCCTGCACTGGAAGCCTGGTCACTCTGCCTGGCCTCATTCCTGCTCTCTCTCAGGAAAACGAGGGGCTGCCCTCCTGCCCACCAGTGCTGACCAACAGTAGCTCTACCCTTGCCGCTTAAACCTTCTTGAGGCGAGAGCCCTTTGTCCCAGGGCTGCGATCCCTGTCTGGCTGCAATGCTGCCCACTTCTAGGTCTCGGGCTCCCCATTCATCACTGCCAATGGCAGCCTCCTCCTCAACTCCACAAAAGCTGGACAGACTCCCACCCTGTGGGGTAGGGGAGGTCTACTCAGGGCTGGATGGACTGCTGTGCCCTCAGCCTCTTTGTGGCCAAGTGGCCTGGCCTAGGCTGAGCTGGGCTCTCCCCCTGGGGCTGCATCTGACAACGGGAAACATCTGAGCCTGTGCTTGAGGTTTCCAGGCCCAGATGGGGCAACAGACGCCATGAGGACACCATGTACCACGGCCTGGGTCCTGGCCCTAGCAGGTGTGCAGTTCTCCTACCTGGGCCTGGGCCTACGAGCCAGCTGACCCTGCTTTCTCAGTTACCAATCTACTGGGTGCCTGGAGCACACCTGCTTTCTCCAGTCCTCAGTTTCCCCACCTACAAGCAGGGAAGTCCCTGCTTCCTGGAACTATGTCCCACAGGAAGGGCCAGGGACCGGCCACCCAGGGTGGCACATTCTGCGGCTAGGTAATGTCCTCAGCCCCAGCCTCCAAGAGATGCAGCAAAGCAGACCCAGGGAGAGCCCTGGGTGGACAGGGCCACTGTGACCCAGGAAGCCAGAGCCACAGCCTAAAGGAGACCCAGGTTGCCGCATGACACCGGCCCCAAGGAGAAAGCCCCACGGCCTCCCACATGCTGGGTCTACGCCAGCTCTGGGGGAACAAGTTGTTGGGATGAGGACACAACTTCTCATACCCTGTCCCCAGAGAGTGCTCAGGACATCCTCAGAGCTGGGCCACATGGGCTAGCCAGGGCCTTCAAGGCAGGGTGAGGCACATCCTCCCTGTCCCATCCCCAGAGAAAAACTCAGGCCCCTGGGATGACCTATGAGTGCCCAGCCAAGAGGGGCCCTGCAGATGGCTGGACAGCTGCCCTGTGCCAGGAAGCCCACCCGCACCTCCCGGCACCCACCTCTGCACAGCCAGCGAGGGCGGTGGCTCTGGGAGGTCCATGTGGATGAAAGCGACAGCTCTGGGGCCCACGTAGGACGGTGAGTCAGGAGTGCCTGCCAGGGAGGGCAGGCCCTGGAGTGTGACTGACCTGTGTGAGTCACTGCTGAACCGGGGCCCCAGGGCATTGCTGCTGGCCTTATCAGCCTGCAGGGAGGACGACATCCGAGGTGCACGGCTCACGGAGCTGGACAGCAAGGACAGTGATGTCTGTAGGGCAGGGTTGCGGGCACCGCTGAAGCCGGGCCCAGCCACAGGGTCCTCTCTGGAGCCGTAACGCAGCGCGGAACCTCGGGGGCCCTGGCACGGCACACTGGCCTGCTACAGGGTGTAGAAGCTGGGCGCGTCAT